GTAAACAATCGATTCCGGATACCTGCTTTTGATGGTGTTAATTTTTAAGTTTTCAGCAGCTTTACATTGAAGACGAAGCGATGTTGATGAACAGCCGCGAGAAGTCCACCGCCACACAGTTGAAATCCAGCACCTTTTGGCTATTATTCATATCACTAGCCTGTAACGCACTCTGGGTGCAGCTCGTCAGCGGATTGTACAAGGTTAGTGATTTCTCCGATGTTCTTGAGGCAATGTCCACGCTGACTATATGGGAGGAGTCCGGCCTTCTCCTTGTGCCTTACTCACTGCCATTTTGCTTACAGACAGACCCCATGCTCAATCATGTCGTAGGGTTGCCTATCCCTATTTCGAGTACGTCAGTCGAGACCGTAATCGCAAGGAAGTGTTCCACATCCGCCACCTCCAAAGTCACGAAGGCGATGCTGGCTATCATTAATGTGCCACGTCATACACCCTACCTCGCTACAAACTGGTGTCTCAAAACTCGTTTCGATGTTTTTATTCTGCCTCGAGGTTTTGAAACCTCGAGGCAGAAGAAAAACATCAAAATAGTTCCGGGTAAATCCAGTCCCGCCCACCCGACCAGCGCGGAATGCGCCTATAATAGCGAGAAGAACTCGCGGATATTCTATGCAACAAGGTTATACTCAACAGCATTTACAGGCTGTATGTTGGCAGAATTTTTTGGATCATGCAGACTTCTGCCATTTCGCTACTGCAGGTCAGAAGTAAGAGCCCTGATGCCCTATCTCATCCAGTAGGTCCCACCCAGAACCCGTCGTCGATGTAGAAACGTGATGAAGCGAAAAACTCTTCCCTTTCAGGCAGTTTTATCCCGGTTGTGGGAGTCCAATGCTCTATTTGGCGCTTCCGCATCTTCACAACGGATGATAAACCCTGGTCTCGCGCATAATGCACACCTTGTGGTCAATGCAAGCGAAATCAGCTAAGTAACTCCGGCGCTGACGTAACGTAGGTGGGGTGAGGGGGCGAAGAGGGCGACCACTCGCCAACTCCCCCCACCACTCAAACTACTTATGCTTACGAAAACGCTTTTCTCTGATCAGATGGTCAACGTAGGCTCCAGTGCAAGATTTTATCGTCCCTTTGCTGCACTACAGGGGGGGGGAGGGGGCAAAAAAAAAAGTCATTCCGGCCGAGTCACATATGAGCGAAGTTTTCGCAGCCCAGACAGAGGAAGTGGATATGAGTACCAGGGCGGAAGATACCCAAGATCTTCCTCTATAAGCAGGAGCTGGCTGCCGCCATTCACCTTCATGTACACCAAAATATGAAGTCATCTCCAGTCGCGGCCTGAGTGGAGAACGCCTTTGGAATTCACGTGGCCTCCAAACAGCTGCGGAACTTCTTGAATGGAATCACCCATGGATAGCTACCTGGAGACCAGTACTCTTGATCTGCAAGACCTCAAACATCGAGCAGCTCCGGCAACGTCGCTACGGTCCAGGACATCATCTTCACCCCATTCACCAAGGCGCGGGTTGATGGTGTGGACCGGCCGTACCTGGAATGGATGAACCGATATTTTCTTCGTGGGCCCCAGACTGAGGGTGTGCGCTGGTGGCTACATCGAGCAACTCGAGGAGAATATCCCATCTTCATGTCGTCGCCCGTACCTTCTTGGAAACTTTGTACTGCTACAGGATTGGGTGACAACACATTTAATCGAAGGGCGTTGGAAAAAACTTTCGCCTACTTTGGCAATGCGAAGAAGGTAAATGGTTGAGATACCAGCGAAGATTGGATTATTTCAAGCGGGGGGTCCTGAACTAAACCCCCTCAATTACTCGTTCGGGCGGAGCTCAACAGGGTGGTCTACAGTGGCGGAGAAATCAACGATCTCGCTCAACTCCGGTACCCACTCACTTTCGCGCGGCCGAATCTCTCGATGGCGCTCCTCCAGAAGGCTGTGGCGGAGTATCATTATAGTATTTAATGTGCTCTTTAATATGGTAGTAAAATGTCCGATAAAAATTTAATAAAGTGTAACTTATAGCGCCTTGAAAGTCATGGAGGCAAAATGACTTTTTTTTGCCCCCCCCCCTGTATGTCTTCGACAAATCTGGTCTTCGCCTGCGCATCAAGCCGAGCTTTTCGGGAAACGCGATGCAGAGGAGACGGCTGCTGAGGGTGTTGGTTTTCTCCCAACCAATGCTGGCGCTTGTAATTTTTTTGCCTCAGAGAAATCATAAGAGCCACAGTATAATATTTTATGATTTCAGGCATACGCGTCAGAAATTTCATCAGTAGCGATCTGTTCCTCTCGATGGTCGGATCGATGGCATCGGTGTTCAATGCGGGCAGCCGGATTGTGTGGGGTGTAGCCGCTGACAAAGTGAGCCACAAATCAGTACTGAGCTGCCCACAGCTTCAAACTAGCAATGATTTTAGACGTCCTATCAATCCACAATGGCGATTGTATGCACCGTAGGAGCATCACTTGTATGGCTTCTTCCAACGTACGAGCCCTGTCGCGTGATCCACTGCTTTTCATAGCCGAAGTGTGGTAAGACATTGAGGCGCACTCCATTTTTGAACTTGAAATTAGTCAAATTGCTACGTCACACCGGAAACGTGACAGTTTGCCCGAACTTAGGCACACTTTGCACTAATATTAGATGGAGACACCAAACCACTGAGCTTTCTCTACTGGCACGCTCTTCCTCTCCATTCTGCTGGAAGAAACAGAGCACCAATGAGAAAACCAGTGTGGTTGGATGTCTCCGCCCATTCTGTTATCGCGATACGTGCCTCCGATGCGATAAGAATATTTGTGCTTTCAGATTTGCATGATTTTCACGTGTATAGGGGGAACCTATTCCCTGTTCCCATATATTACGCACAAATGTTTTGGGAGTTCAAACTTTGGAATCGTCTATGGATTTCTCCAGTGCTCTTTGGTAAGGTCTATCGATACATGTATCCGGGCGCCCGCGGGCCGCAAAAAATCGCAGCTCTGAGAGTGCGTACCATGCAATTAAAACTAGAAGTCAGTCACACTGCTAGACAAGGCCACCGCCTTTCCCCCCCTCCCCCCCTACCACGGGCCAACTGCAGCAAGTATTGAAATGCGGCACCCACGAAAAACTGGTCAGAAGGCGCCGTCCGGCAGCTAGGTCACTACCGCCACCCCATGTTTAGGGTATGTGGCAAGAGAATCGTAATTCGCCGCGCCAGTGGGCGTCGCGTGCGACGTCGCGCCTGCTAATGACGACGATTTTAGGTGGTATTGGTCGAGAATAGACAATGTATGACCAAAAATAGACATAAGTGTCTACCATGTCCTTGTCTACATGAAATCCGATGCTCCAATCGAAAGGGTAGTGCAAATCAAGGAAACGTCGCGCCCATTGCCGCGCGCGACGAAGCGGCAATTTACGATTCTCTTGCCCGTTTCCCCCATGTTTATTTTGGACGCGCTGAATATGACGAGTGCGCAATGAGGCGGCGCCGCAGCGCCGACTTCCTGACCCGCATCTCAACGTCCGCAAATGCGATTCGCCTTCTTCTCATGGATTGCGCTGGTAAAAAATAGAGTAAGAGGTGTTGACCGAACACTTTGAGGATGCGCCATGCACCCGAACTTTGCTTGGTGTCAGGAGGAATTCGGATAGCACAAAGCTCAGTCAGTAAATTCATGCCAAACAACCGTCGCAAACAGAGTGAGCCTCGAATTACAACGTGATTCCGTTATAAACGGCAAATAAAAGCTGTTTGGACGCAGTTAGGTGGGATCTAATTCATGGAGATGACCAGGGTACTACCAACAATTGCTGTCAGTTCTGCGAGGTTTCGATGCGGGCCGGGACATCCACGTAGCGACGAAGCGGCGCCGCAAGCGGTATCATGTGCGCGGCATTCTCACCAGAGCAAGTGATTCAACGCGAAAACGCTATGGTTAAAAGGCCAGCAAGTATCTTTTAATCTGCGATAAACTAAATGCGTCCAGGTGTGAATGTCGCGCACGCGACATTCACACCAGGACGCATTTGTCGCCTTTTTTAGTGTCGCGCCGCCGCAACGTGGATGTTCCGTCCGCAACTTTTAATACTGCTTTCAAAAAACTAATGCTCATCATTTCAGTCTGTAGCTGGTATACTGGCAGGATTACTGTCACAGTTTATTCTGCCACTTGTCGGATTCGATATTCTCTTCCTTATCGCGGGTTGTTTTATGGCAATTTCACTTATAATCACTACATGTATTCATTTTACCATCGCGAAACCGCCACAGCCTGTTTCTCGATATCTTTCTGACGAGGAATGAATGCTCTAGGGTTGAAACTAGTTTGCCTTTTAACTGCCTTATTAGGAAGCCCTATCAGGGACATTTAGTGCAGTGTTGTTATGTTTATTATATTTGAAATTTTATTTATTCATTCACTTTTGAGACCTAACAGTATCTCAGCATTTTCGGTTGTCTTCGATATCACTTCTTCTACAGGCATTTTCTTCACCTGAAATGTTCACTTTTATTATCGCCAGGGCTATTGTATAGGGGAGTGTCGTTTAGGAGATCCATGTTGCGGGACGCAGAAACCAGAGGCTGGTCTTCCCTAGCTAGTTGACTCGGCAGTGCCAGTGCAGTACTACTTGTTGAGCAAAGGCAAAGGTATTCGGAGGTTAAGGGCAGACACGACTGCCACGTCACGCCTTATCTACCTTGCCACGTCTTTTCGAAGATAGACCGGGTACATAGGTTCCCTTCTCCGGTGGAAGTTCCCTTGTTCGGTGGAGGGCGCAGACAAGCAGACATGACGTGACACACAGCAAGTTTTGGCTCTTTCGCAGAGCACCGCGAACTGAGGGCACATCGCGGCTCGTTGGGATCCCCAAGAGGCTCGTATGCCAGCGCCGCAAGGACGGAAGGCCTGGCATGGTGTTATAGGAGAATTTTTCGCCAAATGCTTGATTTTCTTCGATTTTTTTATGCTGTTTTTGAATTTGGTGCCATACCTCCCCCCCCCCGGTCCTCCTGCTGGCTCGCAACACTTCTTTGGATGTGCTATATTTATAAGCAAGAAATGACTTCGTGACCGACAGAGAAGGGAAAATCTGGAGGATGATAGGGACGAATGGGAGATGGGGAACGAGGGGGGGGGTGCGTAAATGGAGATGGGGGAACGGGGGGGGTCGCACCAGGGAGGAATTTCAAGGGTTAGACTTATATTTTTCGGAGGTTTTTTCGCACGTCAAGACTTGCACCTGCCGGGGGCCAAGCTCTGCCTCGTTTGTAACAAATTAGAGTCTGGTGGCAAGTGTCGCACCACCTGGGGAAAGCCGCGTCGTCCGCGATGGGGATCTCCTAAACAACACCTATGTAATAGGTACTGTTCTCTATGTCGAATATTGATTGTTAATGTTATTCGTTATTGCTCAGGTGACCGAGATAATATCGAAAGAACTTACGTCTGCAATAAATTCTGCAGAAAGCCTCAAATTCGCTGGTTCATTACGTTCACCTCGGACAGAGTCCACACTGTGAATCGGTTCTCGCAGTAACAGCTTCTCCATTGGAATCGCGTCAATGAGGAAACGCTTCTGTAAACCCATAGATTCAGAGCCCTGATCTTGGCAATTTCTCTGAGATACCATACATGATCCCATAGTAAAGGAAGGAGGAAGAAGAGAAGAATCCAGCCTCCAGTCCACGGAGAGCCTGTTCTAGCGACCCGTTAAAGGCATGTAGCGCCACCTTTGGTTGCTTTGTTCTCGATCAGAAAATCGACGGTTTCTCCACAAGCAGAACGTGAATGAACGGTCCTAAAAGTACAATTTTTCAAATCCTAAACGGGATCTTTCCATTGAGTTCTACGTCTCATTGGCTGTATCCCAAGAATAAGAGGACTGAACCAGCATGTACTCGTACTTAAACACACGCTGGCATCTGTGAAGTAGGTCCTCATTACGCGCGCAAAGTTCAATGGCCAGCGGCGTTCGCAAGGCATGTAAAAACAGACACCACCACGTCCACTCTTGGATGTGCAGCTCAAAACCAGAGAAAAAAGTACAATTTTTCAAATCCTAAACGGATCTTTCCATTGAGTTTGGTGTTCTACGTAAATTCTACCGTACTCATTTGCTGTTCCAAGAAAGAGACTGAACAGCATGTACTCGACTAAACACACGCTGCATCTGTGAAGTTGGTCTCATACGCGGACAGGCTGGGCAGGTTCGCAGCTGTAAAAGACCACCACTTCCACTCCTTGGATGTGCCCTTTCATATCGCCGGACACTACGAGCAATGCCGCAGGACCTGGGCCAACTTAGCATACCCAACGCGAACATGTTGCCACGCTGCCCAGTTTCTCAGCCAAAAAGCTTTAGAGAACCATTTTGCCCCAGTCAAAAAGGAGAAGGCACACACAGAGCAGGTTTGGCTATGGCTGGACGCGCGGTCGGTCGTGTGGCGTGTTGCGTGTCTGTAGCTCACATTGCTCGCAAGCGAAAACTAAAAGAACATCCAGGTATCATCATACTCCAGCATCATACCCACGCACCACAATGGAGAAAAGGGCACTATTTGACAGATGCGGACCTGCCCACAAATAAGATCAACGGCGTTGTTCGGCCTGGAAGGGGCATTCTTCACTTCTGTTACTTCCTTCTGCTGAATGTTGTAATCTGTACCTGTAAACTCCTGTAGAGCTGTGAAGTGGACCAAGTGAGCCACTTTGGCTTCAAGAATTTACAGACCTTCACGGGGTAACCTGTATAGACTCCGCTGAGACTCATTTGGTGCCCTCACCGATCCGAATTGCGTCAGATCAACATTATGTTAGATCGCACAATGTATCCAATAGGAATAGATTGCAGCCGAGCGGAATTGCATAGAAAATGTGTAAAATATGGAACTAAGCCATCTTTCGTTAAACTTTTGAGTGTTCGAGCACGTTCCCTTCAACACGAACTTTGACCACGCCCCTGGGGATGACCACGCCCCATAGGCTTGATATTTCAATAGTTACTCGATGAAAACCGAATTCATACATGCGCAGCGGTCACTGCAATACCCTCGATTCCCTTACTTGTCAAGAGAGGGCATGAGATTCTCGTCGCAAAAACTTCAGACCTACAGAGGTAATCCTAACTGCTTTGCCCATTCAATATGCTTTGCCAGAACTTCTTTTTGAATGGCCATCTTCTCAGGACCAATATTGTACCTTTCAGTAAAATCCAAGCCAACCTGTAATAAGAGTTCAGGAAGAAATTAATAGACAAACGAA